GAAGTTTGGAAAAAAGAGTTTTGGAACAATGGGGAGAAAAACCAACATTTAAAAAAAAAGTCAAGTTCAAGTGAATCAGAGACCTGCTGTCAGACAATGCTAATTGTGAGCACTCACCTGCACAGGCAGAGTTGGAGAATAGGTGTTAGTTACCTCATATACAAAGAAGAAAGCCAAGGTCACATAAAAAGAGGAATGTCTTTTTTTAAAGAGGTAGTAATGCTGATGAAAGGTGCTGGGCTGTTAGTTGGCCCACTGAGGTCTTCTTTTGATTTTCTCAAATAGGTACAGAATAAGCAGCTGCCATTCAAGTCTTTCACGCTGTCCGCGTTCTGCACATCTCTGCTTTGTTCAATAGGACTAATACTAATAGCAAGGGAGTAGATCGGCCCCCAAACCCATTCGGCTGAGAACACAGAGACTCCTTGAAGAGCCCAGTCAAAGGGAACTGCACCAGCTAGTGTTCTGTAACACCCTTCCCTGAGCCTGCAAAAGCTCTGCAATGTTAACACCAGTTTTCAGGAGGTGGATGAGACTACAGTCCTTCCTAAGAGAAGACTAGCACTCAAAATATGTAGCGAAATTAAAGCTTTGTCCCTACCTTTGTCAGAGACAGCTACTGATCCTACAACAACCAGGTCCACTTTCACTTTTGCATCCAGGCCTATAGGCACACTGTAATCCTTTACCCCCTGAAAAGCAAACATGCAATCTTACAGTAGCAAGCAAGGCTTTGCTCCTGAGTGAAACAATAAAATAATTGAAAAAAAAAAAAAAAATCAAACCTATGTTGCTCAAAGCAAATAAAATGCCCAAGCTCTGAAATGCCCCTTCCCTATACAGACAAATATCAGATGTCTGGAAAATTACTAGCAAATCAGAGTCAGAATTTTAGAATATAATTTTCTGCTAAAATGAAGGCAATTCTGGCATAGTTCAGTGGGAGAGCTGAAGGTGCTGAAAGCCTGAGTTGGATTCCAAAAACGAACTAGAGGCCCTTAGGGTTGGAAATCTCAGCAAACAATACTTAATAATAAATGGCCCCATTCACATGAGGAATTCAAAGCACTTTACATTCTTAAATTAAGCCTCATGATGACTCTGCAAAAGAGGGAAGTATTAACTTCAGCTGCGGAAGGTAAGGTATGGAGACACTAAGGTCATACCAGAAACGTTTCTGAAGCAGTGTCAGGAGCAGGCTCTGGATCAGCTGCCTCCCACTGCTGGACTAAAAGTATTGCTTGTGTGGAAAGATAAATGTGGGCTCCACAGGGACCTGAACTTTCTGCTTTCCTTCCTTGTAACTTTTTTGGTGTTTGCACCACCTCTGACATAATGGTGTCAATCTGTCGGCCCTTCAGCCCGTCTCTGTCAGGGACAGATGAATGGAAACTCAGAACTTTTCAAAAAATAAAGGTATTTGTTACATTTAGCTTCTCTCTACCACACATATTCTAGACAGACTTTGGCTAAGTTTCTAATTGTTTGCCTTTCGCAGGTACGGACAATAGCTGCCATGGCCAATCCAGAGAGCACATGCACATTTATACACAGCTGTTAGCTCTGTTGAATGGACCACTGTACCCGGTAGAAGGTGTGAGAGTATCTACCTGCATCTTCATCTAGTTGTTGGACAGTCAGCGAAGCTTTATTCCACTTAGCAGAAGTGGCATAACTCTCCCATCAGAGAAGGAGGTAGACTAGACCAGGGCTGGGGCTACAGGCAATTAACACCTCTGAAAAAAATCATCCCCAAGGCATCTCAGCATGGGTGTCCAGAGGTAGGAGTTTTACCATGTTTAATTCTCTCTCCACTAGATCTTATTTTACTTTAAAACTCAAGATAAGACCTACTTTAACTCATTCTTAAAAATGGCTGTAGACTGTGG